AATTAAAGATTTTTTAAAGCTGTCTGACCATTAGACAAACAGTTCTGATTGGGTATATTGGCACCTTCAGACCACTAGCTTACTGGGAGGAAGCTAGCTCGAGTAGCCCATATGTCAAGGAGCTTCCAGCACCACTTATTTAGTGGGGGCATGCAAATGGGTTTCTCTGTGCCACTTTCTGGTGTAACCGGGCACTAATACTGCACCTCACACACTGTTGCACAAACACACACTTTTTCTCTCAAAGTGCATATCATTGACTGCAGAAAGTCTCTCTTACTCTGCAGTCTCTTTCACTTTCAGGTCCACCCACTTTAGCATTCACTAAATGCCCCTCTCTCTCTCTCTCTCTCTCTCTCTCTCTCTCTCTCTCTAACACGCACACGCACACCCCGGCACTCAGCATGCCCTGCTATTAGGTTGTCAGTTAGTCAGGCCAATAGAATAAGTGCTGTGGATTAGGCAGACACACACATAGTGAGGAAGGATGGACAGCATACTAAACAGAGTGGGGCACAAGGTGACAGACATCCTGTCATAAAGCTCTCTCTCACACTTTAACACAAATATACACACGCACGCGCACACACAGAGGAAACGCAGAGGAAACAATTATAGCCACTCAGACAGTCGATAACAGTGAAACATAATCAACTTAGTGTCACTTTTTTCATTTCTTGACCTGCTGTCATCCTTTGTCTTTGTCATTTCCTCCAACCACTCGTCCCTTGCTCTTCCTCTTCCTCCTCCTCCTCCACCTCATCTAGTCTAGACAGGAGTGATGAACGAGGCAACATACAACAATACTCTCTCTTTTACCACAGTCTTTTCCTTTCACCTTCTCTTTCCTTCCATCTGCTCTCTTCTTTTTCTCACTTCTCCTTTCTCCTTCCTGTCTTAGTATTCCCTTAATCCTTGCCTCCTGTTTCTTCCTACTCAAGGTCCTCCTCTCTTTTGTCCCTTCCCTTCAATACTCTTTTCGTCCCTGGTCTTCTTTTTCCTTCTCTTTGGTCCTACTTCCCCCTCTTTTTCAGGGAGGAAGTAAGACCATCTTCCTTTACTGTATCTCCTCTTCCCTTTGTTTCTGTTCTCACCTCTTCCTGTTCACCTCTTTTCCCAGACTTCGCCCTGCTTCCTTTCTTTTTTCTCTTAAGCTCAGTTCTTCTCCTCTATCTCTTCTCATCTATCCCTCCTGGAGACCTTGTCTCCATCCCCCTCTGCAATTTGAAGTCTTACATTACTTGCCCTCTCACCTCCTCCACTCATTTTCTCTTCCCTTTTAATCTCTCATTGCTATTTCTACTCCTCTTTTTCTGCTAAAATAAAACCATTTCTCTCTTCACCTTTCCATTCTCCTCTGTTTGTATGAATCTGTCACACACACACACACACACACACACACACACACACACACACTCTACACTAATCACATAAATGGCTCTATAATTGGGGAATTGAACATTGTTGATTTGATCAAAGCCAAAGTCTTCTCCTTGTCCCTCAAACATGTCACACCGGGCAAACCAGTCAAGGAGACAGAGAGAGAGAAAGTGATACATGGTCACTGCCTTTCTCTTTCTCCTTTCGTTGTCTTTCTCTCACTCTTTCCCGTTCTGTCCTTACTGCCAAAGAAATCGAATTAAGTGGAATATAAATAGTAAATTGGTTTCTCTGAAAACACACATACACACCTCAATGCCCTAGTCATCACCTCCAGATTCGACCGGATGTTCAACAATTAGCGATCACTGGAGCTCAAAGGCATGGATCAGGAGCACAGCTGCACCAAGTGTGTGCGCACACACACACACACACACACACACACACACACACGCGATGAAAAGGACAGCCTTGAGTAACGCATGCCTTTGCTTTGTTGAACATAAAACTGTTGCAAAACCAAAGAATGAAGCATTTTTAAAGGGTACGTTAGCAGTTAGTAGTAGTAAGTAAGTCATCGAAATCCTCATACAAGAATAACAAAAGAGATCATTTGTCAGTGCTTTTCCAAAATGAGCATATTTTGAACTATCAACTGTAGATCAACTACAATTGTTCAAATAGTTTTCTTTGCACAGAGTCAGGCTGTTTGTCTGTTTCTAATTTTTATGCTATGTAAGCTAACTGGTTGCTGGCACTATAGTTACCGTACACCTAACTCTCTGCAAGAAAGAAAATAAGCATACACCCAAAATGTTAAACTATTTCTTTAATATTTGGTTACGTTTAGGCAACTAACTCTGCTTGGTTAAGGTTAGGAAAAGTTAATCTTCATAAATAAAGGAAATCAATATGTACTTTTGTGTGAGATGGGACACAAACAGCTGCAGATTGATTGATCAGTTTCACACCCACAGCTTTGCCTCTGTGAAAGTGATGACAGTGACGAGAGCAACATAATCTGAAAATTGAGCTGCTTGCCGGGCAACCACACACCCAGACCTCTAGATGAGGATGGATGAGAAGGTGATTACAACTTCTACAAGATGTCAGTAAGACTGACTTACTGGCAGACAGACAGACTCTGGGTGAGACATTTTCTTCATCACTGCCTTCCAATCTATTATCATTATATCTGAATGAGTTTCTTCAATTTTCTTTTTTCTAAAAACAAAACCCAGCAGTTAAAATTGGAGCAAGTGTGTGTGTGTGTGTGTGTGTGTGTGTGTGTGTGTGTGTGTGTGTGTGTGTGTGTGTGTCCATGGATAGAAATGATGTACCAATATCGCCCCCTTATGGCACGAAAGCAACCAACGACCAGCGGCATATTCCTCAGCCTGCTCTCAAACACACACATGCAAACATATGCACACACACACTCCCAAGTAAATAACTGGTTGAGAGCAAGTACTGATAGAGTGGATGTCAGAATGACGACACGCATATTCCAGCAAAACTCCAAGTCTGATTTGCAAAACGATGAAATATAGTAACAAAAAGTCAGAAAGTCGTTTTCCGCAGGTTTCTCTTTATTAACATTAACCTGACCACATCCTTATGAGCAGAGGACGCTGTATGGCAATATTTACTATAAATCTACATAGAGGACCAGCTCAGTTTCATTTCTTAAACGTGGGTTTTTTAAAAAAGTTTTAGATGTCTTTTTCTATCAGTACGCTGAGTTGAAAACACAGATATTGTCTTTAAGGGCTCGATTCCGACATCCACGAACATATTTGGCCAAATTGATATAAATATTTATTTCACCGTCGTGCGTAATGTAGCGGTTTCCTCTGCTGCACCATTACGCGCGGAAAGAGGTACGGCTGCTCCACCGCGCTGCAGCGGAGCCGGAGCCAGAAGCGGAGAGGGAACTCGGTGTTTAGAGCCAGTCTTCCCTTCAAAGTAGCCTCTTTTTGCAGCCTTACAAGTCATGAATACCAAGCAGAAGGTGCCGAGAGAGGGGCGGACACAGAGCCGACAGGCTGCTGCTACTGCAGTCTCCTGAAAACATTACTGATTTAAACAGATTGTTGGTACCGGTACAAAGCCTGAACTTAATAAGTACAGTAAGGTATTGACAGAGTTACAGCACAGGGCATACTCCGATGATTAAACATTTTAAAACGACAGACACGACGGTTTTAAATGATGGATCATGCGAAACATCAGATTAATATCCTAGCAAGAGTTATAATGACACAAGGCACTTTTATTCAGACAATACATTATTTGTTGTAACAATCATTAAATGTTTCAGCTTTTACATAAGCGCACTTTGATTTCATCAATATATTATCTTGAATTTAATCTGTGACATTAGTGTTTTTTCAAGGCATGATGCTGGATATGTGGGACCAAACTTTTTTTTATTAGAGCTGCTGTAATCCGGCGCTCGGCTCGTTTTGTCTGTCTGTAAAGCTTCAGTTTCTGGTGGCTGATAAGCATAATTCGATCAAAGGCTGGAAATCCTGCAAACTCTCTAAACCTCTCCGGCGCGTAACAAGTGCCAGAGGAGTCCTGGCTCCAGGCTGCCGTGCAGAGATTCAGCTACGGACTGAGTGAGGATCCCGAAGCCTCATCTCCGGGAGATGAAACTGAGATATTGAAATATTACTGAAATAGCTATTAAGGCATCGGCGTAGTTGCGGGTTTGAGAAGCAAACTGAGAACGCAGGGTGTAAATTAGGTATCAGATCAGTTATTTGCGTGTAGAAGTTGTAAATAAAAAGCTTTGTAGGTTCTGCAAAGAAACGGACTTCTACGAGAGTACTTGCACACGCTTGCCCACGACACCGCTGCACAATGACGTGCTCGCCTGTTTGCTGTAGCACACCTCAAAAAAAAAAATCTCATAAATGCATAAAAAAAAAATTAGGGAATGCTTTTATAGACAGTAGACAGCTTTGCGCTCAGACGGACCCAAGACGCACCAGGCCGACCGCTTCCAAGCACCCAGCGAGCTCACATGTAATGTAATGTAACCTACATAAAAACATAACAAAATCAAAGTCTCAATCAAACCCTCAACAGCATGCATTCCACACATACAGGGAGCTTCGTAGAAAAAAAAAACCTCCCGAAGCGTCCAAAACTTCACACCAAATCTCCAGTGCGCAAATCAGAACTGTGAAGCAGACACAGATATGACGGCACAAACTCGTGCCAGCGGTCATTATAATGTAAGCCAAACGACCAGCATTGTCAGCAAAACCCGCTATATCTCCATAAACAAGTGATTTATGGACATTGTAGACATGTAGACATTTTCTGCTCAGTTTGCCTATCAAGATTTATGCGCGCAAGCATTCAACAACTAAAAATGTGCTTAAACTGACTTAACAATATAAACCACAACAACAATATAACATTTATAGCTGTATGGTGCTTCCGATATTGCTGAAACGCACGTGCATGTCAACGTTATATTCCCATATGCACCACGTCGTGGATGTGCCAATTTCAAACTCAAAAGAAATGATCAAATCCCACACAACACAGAAAACGTATGTAGTAAGAGATTTTAAAAATTGCCAAAGAAAACAAAGAAATCACTTTACCTGGAAAGAACTGTCCACCAGTAAATCCCAAAAGTACAAAGTAGATGAAAGCTGCAGGCAAAACGAGAGAATAACTCCGTTTATCCATTTTTTTCCTTCTTGGTTTGCTCAATCGCGCGGATTATTTTACATGCTCCCGTCTGGTCCTTAAACTGGTTTTCCTTAGTTCGGGACAGCAGTGACAATAACAGTGATAACAGTCATAAAATCCTCGCATTGGTGGATAAGAGGAGACAGAAAGATACAAGTAGAAGCAAAGAGAGAAGTTGGAGGCAATAAACAGGAGCGCTCTCCTTTCCTTTCCTCCAGGGTCCGACGGAGCAAGCCTGTGTGTGTGCGCGCGCGCGTCAGTGCCCACGTGTGTGTGTGTGTGTGTATGTGCGCGATCAGACGGTCTCAAACAGACTGACGTTGAGTTGGAGAGCAATGGAGAGAGCAGTGCGCACCACACCGGGTGCCAGACACCCGCGTAAAGACGGGATGCATTAACGCGTGCAAAACTTCCGATCGTGAGTTTCAAAATAAGATCAACTAGCGGCAGAATGGAAATTGAATTCTCACAGCAGGAAATAGTCACACCTTCGAGAGAGGTACGTTTCAATAAATGTACATAAATAAATAAGAATAACACAAATGAATAATTGGACAATTCCAGGAAAATAAATGTTATTGTCATGTTATTGGGATTTAAATTCTATCCCTCAGCTTTACTTTACTATTTTCGATGCTTATGTCAATTTAAAGAAGTTATTAAATTAAAATAAATATATAACTTCTTACACTTTACAAGGAACACAACCACCAAGTAGGCCTATAGGTTTTTATTTGAAGGACTAGACCTGCAATTTCCCATAAAGTCTTCACTGTGTTTCGGGAGCTTGACTCTGCTGAAGGCTTTTTAGGTTCTCTGGTTTCCCCAGGGTCCTATCGCCTGCCCCCTCCGCAAGGATAGGATTCGCACACAGTCTGTACACCTCTGTCTGTCTGTGGGTACTCGCTCTCTCTCTCTCGATCTGCATGTCTCTTTTCCTCTCTGTTGTCATGAGATCCCTCTCAGTCCACTCATTTTGCTGTTATAGGATTTCTGTTTCAAGGTCTGTCTCTCTAACAGCTGCCCCCTTCCCCTCCTTCTCACACACACACACTGACTCAAATGTGTTAGCGACTGGGCTTTCCCATTATTTATTTGGACAATAGAGTAACAATCCGTGTGATGAAACTGGATTTCAAAGTAAGGAAGGATTTCACAAGTTTTGTTTGCCCAGTCTTCATCCACACAGGTGTTTTAATGGATCTAAGGCTGATTTATCTCAACCTAAGTGTATTTTATGAGACCATAAGCAAATGAATGTCAGACACTACTGACACATTTCAGGTCAGGCCTTTGACAATTTTATAAAGAATGAGGAAACGCTAGTACACAGAGTGCTAGAGAGACTCTTCAGATGCAAAAAGCATAACCGTGAACATTTGTGAATTTAAGTTTGACAAGTTTGATTACTGATGATGGTCTGAGTATTCAAACTGTCCCTGTTAAACTATCACACGTTCATGTTTTAAAGCTTTTTTCACTTCACTTTGTAACAATTTTTTGATTTGAGATAGTTTTTGAGTTGGAAACTGAGAAGACAAATGTCACCCTTCACATTTGTATGCATGGAGACACACACACAGTCCTCATTTCTGACGTTGGATACATCTTAGGATGTGTGCCATGTGTTGTGGGCATGTTCTGTGCATGTCACTGGTGTTGAACCAGGAGTGGCTTTCAAAATCAGACTGGCATGGAGCTAAAAGTCAAAAGCAACAATTGAGGAAGAAAAAAATAAATAAATAAAAAAAGAGGATAACACAAAGAACAGGGATGTTGAAGTATGAAAAAATATTGAAAAACATGGTGATTGTCCTGCTCTTCACTGATCATGCATATAAACTCTAGTTACCTCAAGTTCAGGCTATTTCAGAGTGGATATTGATTGGCAGTTGTAAACATGCCATTTCAACCTAATTACCTGAATAGAAACATCATATGAAATTTGTATGAAATAACATAACAAGACAATTAGCAGTCTTCTCCTTTTTCAAGCATATTTGAGCTTCAAAGACTCATTAAAAGTAAATGTAGACAGATGATTCACCAAAACTGCTACTTATTAGACCATATCAAATGTTTCGCAGCTTAGTGCCCTTCAGAGGTCCCTTCTGACTGTCTGGTATTTGTTCCCTCCTCTTTCCAGGTGAGCGTGACAGGGTGTGTTAAATTTAGCAAATTCCAACTAGCCTGTTGGGAGGGTCTTGGCATTTTTTGTCCTTTGAGCTAAATGCTGCTTAGCTCAACATGCTGGCTACCAGAAACCTGCCTGTTGTCCTGCAGTGTCAAAAGGTGAAGTGGTGATCAATGCTGGCTGCATTTTAGAACAGTTGCATATTTAAGTTGAGAGAGTTACAGATCAGGTGTAATCAATTACTGTTTGGTTGCCTTCTTATCTCTGTAATGCAACATAGTAATTTTTTTTCAAAGCCGATAAACAATAGTTTATACATTTGATTCCTATTCCCAAGAGAATGCTTTTAGAAAATGGCCAGTATAGAATCTTTACATATAATTTATATCTACACAAAGACACCCTGTTGCATTTTGCTTACGCCTCTTCTCCCTCATTCCACCTCACTCTTCCTCCAATCAGTTAAACTAAATTAAATTCAAGAAATTTTATTGGCACAACACCTTGCCAAAGTCAACATATGACAGAATTGTGCCTCAGACGGATGGGTTTAACGATGAAAATGATCCATACATCACCAAGTTCACACCAACTGTTTATTATATATGTACAAAGAACTGAGAGACAAGCAATGGTGGTATAATGGAGTTTTAACTACACTCAGTTGTCAGTTTATTGAATACATCTAGCTTAAACTAGAATGTCATGCAATAAATCCCCCCTTTATAAAAGGTTACTGCTTGAATTTTCTTGAAACTGTTTGAGAGATGTTGACTCAACTTCAAAGTCATTTGAGTCTGTAGTTTGTGGTGCTGTTTGAATGTATTGTGTTTCTCATGTTGCTGACCTCATTTATACAGCTTCATGGCGGAAAAATATAATCCATGTGGAATTACTTAACTACCAAAAGACATGGGCTGTTATTAGTATAATATAAATGTAATTTCAAAAAGACAGGATGGCTGCTTTACCATTGGGGCTAAACACTGATAAGTGTAGGTAAGCTGCTTGATCATCATAATGCTGTATTAATGTATTAACAAACAGGCCGTAACAGCGACATAAGGAACTTAGACAAAAGTCAAAGGAACACCATAAAGTAATGTCCAGTCTCTTCTTGAGAAAGTCAGACAGTGACACTGTCTGTGAACATGACTCATTAGTGACAGACACTGTATGATCAATGCCAGCGAGGGCCCTTTACTAACTCTTACTATACATTTATTCCCACTATAATAATTTCCATCAGATGCACCAGTACTCCTTTCCTGCAGTACTTGGATTCTGAGCACCTCTCACATTGTAGTTGGATTCTCTAAGAACTGCATCGGTTACTTAATACGAATAATCTGAATATTACAGAGCATAATTTTAAGTCTTATTTATGCTTGCTTCTCTCTTGTTTGACCAGTCCTGAAAACCCTCAGCGTCTCTTTTACTTCCCTAACTCTTTCTTTGGCTCACTTTCTCTCTCCCCTCTCCATTATGTATTTTTATGCTGACAGCTAATGAATATTTCCATTATTTAGTGATGTAGAAATCAATGTCTAATTAACATGAGGCTGTGTTTGTCTGAGCCAAGACCAAGACACAAGCACCCGTATCCTCCTCACCTCTACATCATCACTTATTTATTAGAAATCAATTATGCAGAGTTGAAGCATTCCTCTAGTCTGGTCTGGTCTTTCCTAGTTTATACTAGGACTGTGAAACTGTATTCCCTTACATTCTAGTATTGTCCAGTCTCCATATTTGAATGAGAAGAGGGTAGTTTTCAATCCCAGGGTCTGAACGTCTTTATCATCTTGTCTCTAGTCTTTATGATAAATGCTTTATTTTCATGTAGCAACACACGGTTTGCTTTAGAAAATCGAATTAATTAGCATGCTGGGTATGCACTGACACACCAGGCGGTTGTGAGCAACAAAGGATTTGTTTTAGATTAAAACAGTGAAAAACACAAATGAGATACACTTCATCTACAGGCAAGTGCAAAGGCACACCTTACACACCCACACCCCATATATCAGAGACACATCAGGGGTCGCTACTAATCATGACTAACATCAAGTTTGCAAGTCAGGCCGCCTAAGGTGTGCATTTATGTGTGCGGGTATATGTTTGTATGCTTGACAAGACAGACACACACATATGTATATACACACACAGTTTTGTAGACATCGTCCCAATCCTACTGAACAGACAAAGAAAAGATACCTGATGCTGATAGCTGTTCAGAAACAAACAAAAACAAGAAAATAGGACTGGTTTGTTTTAACCCGCTAGATAAAAGGTAATGCCCTGGCAGTGGCAAATAGCTTTTGGTTTAATATTTGATTACATTAATGTTTAAGTTGAGATTTACAAGAAATATACTTATTGCTACTGTGTGAAGGGAATACTGCTGGTAAAAAGCACATTTGTTTAAAGTGTTTGCAAACCACATGTTACACTTGTGTATATAGTAGTACATTTACATTAAAATTGCACAATACACTAGTTTAGAATTCATTGTTCAATTTTACGTGTAACAATACGAAACACACTGGTGTTAACGCAACGTTTTGTAACTACTGAATACTGCTCTTATAGATAGGCTACATGTGCAGTAAAACCGCTGTTTAAAAGTAGGGATTTACTTCCTTTATTTTTTTTTATTTCAGCCGGTGGGTGGCGTTAAATGTCTAGACTATATGCTGTGTAAAAATACTCTTTTCTGCTGTTATGGATATGTTAGTTAAAAAGTCAGGAAAGACTGCTTTGTTTGGGGGTGAAGGGGGGTGGTAGGGAAAGCAGCGTTTCCCATAGTTAGCCTATAATTTGGATAATTATCAACGCCGACCGCCACATATTGATTTTCCAACTTTTTACTAGGCCTATTTAAAATTATTTGATTAAGGAGCTGTATTGTGGAGTGTATATTCATGCAGCACCTCCTGGATCGCTCCTGGACACCGCTGCACAAACCTGTCCAATGTTAGAAGAACCCCCCCAGTGTCATTCTGTGGGAAACACTGGAAAGTAATATAGTAATGTAACTAGTTACTTTTATCACCCAGTAATAAGTATTAATACTTTGAGTAATAACTAGTAAGATATTATAATTTCTGAGTAACTTGCCCAACACTGGTGCCATGATTCAGTTTAGGTTTTGCTTTCATCAGCACCTACAAAAGTATTTTTGTGA